TTTTTTTTTTTTCCTTTTCTTTTTCCAACTCCGTATTTGTTGGTAGTGTCGAAAGTTTTATCTGTCCTACAATTAGTATTGCTCCTGACCTGCTTGATTTCATTGACCAGTCAGGAAGAGGAGCCCCTACCCGATAGATAGGACAGACACGCTGTCATAGCAAACACCCCTATAAGGGTATTTGCTCGTGTTTTGGCATTCGATACAGTATCGACACCGGTTGCCGTGATGAGCAAGGTTTGGAGTGGAAAGTGAGAATTTTTTGGCATGGAGCCGCGAAGCAGGCTCCTCGACCATTGAGGCCTAGGTTGCTTGGTGACCATACACAGTGATATGACGTGTAGAAAAAACAGGTAAAAGTTAGTGAAAGTAAAAGTCTTCGGCCGCAAGGGCCAAAGGTTTGGAGGAGAACAAGAAAAAGGTTGCGCAGGATGAGGCGACCTCGATCTAAATCAATCAAAGGCTCAGGCGGTAAGGCAAAAATGAATTAGAACGAGTCCGGGGGCGTCGGGCCGACCAATATGCAGAAATCGGCAGGTCGCGCCACCGTAAAATCTAAAGACGACTGAAAAATTAATATAACCCCAGGCCATGCGGTCAGGGCAGCCAAGACAAACACACTACCTACCATAATAGGTAACGACAGTCGGTACCTCTGTCCTTTATCATATGCTGTGAGTGGGTTTGAGGCTCCAGCTCCGCCTCCCGTATGTAGAGAGCAAGTCGCCTCTCGAATAGCGACTTCGTGTCCACGCGATCACCCACACAACATGCGCCTTCGTCCCCTTTAGAGGGAAACACCGTTGCAAGCTCTGATATCGTCCGCACAGGGCCTAGACTCAGGTTACTTGAACTAGTACCCGCCTATCTACAGGTGTTGGGCCTCTAAAAATACCAACTTTTGTCTTTTTCTGCTCGACCTTAAGTACCAGGCGCATCTACCTCTACTTAGTATGGTACCGACCTACCTGTTACTTGACTATTTTTTCGCTGCTCTTAAGTGTCGTGAGCCTCTTTCCCCGCCACTTGAGTGTTTTCCCCGCGACAACCCTCAATGTCATGGCAGAAGGTAACTGCCGACCCTTCGGGCCTTCTGATCGACTAAGTTCCCTTGAGGGTCACACACACACTAAAGCCAACAAGCACTCAGATAGGCGTGCGGACCGGCAAGTGTGCGCACACACAGATTTAGGGAAGGGCTCAGACCACCAGGTGGACCGAGCCCACTACTCGATATATGACTGAGCGGCTCCTCTTCTAATTAAAGTAGGAGCTAGCTCAAGAGGTTTCGAGGCAGATTGTCAAACTTGAGATACATGGATTGAATCTGCCTCGACCTATGAAGTTAACTTTTTTTTTGCTATAAAGGAGCTGCGCTTTTACTCTGATTCCGGGCGACGGGGGCTTGAACCCGTGACCTTGAGTACGGGATTAGTTACGGTTAGGCCCCGTTATGACAGTTGGCACAATGGGGTAGTTAGCAATTTTTTCATTCCTTTTTGTTTTCTTTTTTTTAATTTATTTATTTTATAAGTTAGATTCGGTTTCTTTTTATTTTTCTTAGTTTTCTTTCTTTTTCCGTGTTTGTTGATTCATAGATTCACTATTAGTAAATCTTTCTCCGGAATCAGGGTAGGTTCAACCTAAGTAGCTCGCAACAGGCTGACCGAGGTCATGGACAACCGGCCGCTTGGGGATATGGTACTACGACGCGAATACTTACGGAGTTGTGGGAGGCAGGGCGCAGCGAGGAGCAAAAGGGGCACTTCGGGGAGGCACGAAAGGGGGAGCCACGAGAGGGTAGCATAGATCGGCAGAGGGTGCGTGCAGGGAAAAAAGGCAAGCGAGGGTAGAAGGGGAACGCAAGGCGAATACAGGATCGTGAGTGAAGGAGACGAGCAAGAAGAAAAAGAAGAAGAAGGAGAAGAARAAGAAAGAGAGGAGGAAGAAWAARAAARAARAARAARAARAARAARAARAARAARAARAARAAAAAAAAAAAAAAAAAAAAAAAAAAAAAAAAAAGGAGAGGAMKTACTTCCCTTACARTCAAAAGATGGCAARGTCTCGGGMTTAAGATKCGAGRTGTTGRCGMCGACTGGTGGATCATTGCGCCCGATGGCCCGCCACTTACCGTATGCGAGGGGGAGGCTAGCTGAGTGTGTGATGCATCAGTCAGC